CTTCTAATTCAGCACTGCTCCAATACTTAGAGAGGTTCCCTAATATTATAACAGTGACTCTCTCTTTCTAACCACAGAATGGTCTAACAGGATGGAGTCTTGCGCTGCGACACAAAAGGACCTACTATCAACAACTCAACGCCAGCTACTGGAGGCAGGACGCAAGTACTGTCATCGGGGGTTCTCCAACGAGGGGGTCGTTTTCGACTGCTGTGGGGCCAGTAAGCGAAGTGTCAGCTAGCAAAACACCCAATGATTGACAATTATATGACAGATTAAAATAAACTCATCGTAGATGATTAAACACTACAGTTTCATCAGCTTTGTAAGTACCAGTAGGATCGGTCGACCCTCCTTCTGCGTGTGAGGTGACTCCTCGCCCCCTGCTTCCAGTTGTTCAGTGTAGGTAGGCACAATCTATTAGATTATCAGAACAAAGCCGGGTGTATTTAGGAGAAGTGATAGTTCGCCAGTTTGTAGAGGAGGTATTTAGTACTTTGACTGAAGCTTCGTCCAATGCAGTTACGTATGCTAATGCTAATACGAAATTCTGATTCAAGCCACGTTCACAGCAGGTGTGCCTCCCCCATCCGTCCACCTATTCATTCTCTACCGTTTCCCACATTTTCCGCTCTCCGGGCCGTTTTGGAACCGAATTACGAGTTTTTGAAATTTTGTGGCAAGCACCGCCCACCTGTAGAACGCCCCGCCCATAAATGGGTTTGTTTCAGTCATTTCGTCCGCCAACTGATTGCCTATCGTTTGCCACTTTTTCCGCTCTCGGGGCTCTTTTGGAACCGAACTGGGAATTTTTGAAAATCTCGAAGCAAGCACCGCCCCTTTTACAGCACGCCCCATAACGGATGTATGCCACTCTTTCGTCCGCCGATTAAGTTCCTATCGTTTCCCACATTTTCCGCTCTCGGGACTCTTTTGGAACCGAATTACGAATTTTTGAAATATGTAGCTCACAACTGTGCGCACGCCCCGCCCACAGTGGGCGGGGCTTAGCTTAGTTCATGTGTGTTCCGTACATCTTGGCCCATGCCCTACCCAACCCACCCTTGACCCGCCCCCTCCAACTGGCTCTTCAGGTGATTCCGAATTTCCGGACAGACAGACAGACAGACAGAGTATGGAGCTCAGGAAACCTGATGAACATCTGCATTTGCTTTTATGAGCAGGC